ATTTGTGTGTATTTATTTGTGTGTCCTTGGGCCCCTTGATGGTTGTTAAGTTGTTCTGATGTGTTGAAGTGTCAAGTCGGCAGTGAGCCTCGTCGCCACTGGGGGCACCCGCGCCCCCCTGACCGCCCTGCGGCTGTTCCGCCGGGGCGCGCCCGTTTGCTCGCTCTGGTCTGCGTTTGTCTGCGACTGCGCCTGACTCCAGGGCTCGTTTCGATTCCTCCGATTCGATTCGATTCGATTTCGATGGCTTCCGATTCCGATTCGATTCGACTTCGGATTCCGATGTGGGCTCCGATGTCCTACTGGAGGCATACTCGCCTGCCGATGTGCGCCGATTCGGCTTTTCCCGATTCGGCTGCCGATTTTCGCCGATCCGATTCATGTCGATTGCCGATCCGATTTATCGATTCGATTCTGGGCTCTCCTGCTCCAGGGCCGGTCCAGGAACGCTTGACGGGCGCGCTGCCCCCTCTTCCTACGAGCGGGGTGAAGTCGGGCACGTTCCTCTTCGGGAGGAACATCCAAGGAGAGTGAACAAATAGTATGGGAACTTTTTTTTAAAATGTTTGTTTACCATTTGGGGGTATTTGTTCTGTTCGTCCAAAATCCCCCTGTAGGAGGACAGGACCGACTTCAGAGCAGGGGTCCCTCGGGGCTCTCGGGGCGTTCCTCCCGCCCCTCTCCCGCCCCCTTCGTGCCTCTGCCCCCCGCCGCGAGGCCTTGAGGCTCATGTGTGCCCGCTCGCCCCTCTGTGCTGCCATGCGCAGCGAGCTCCCTCTCCCGGCCCCTCTCCGACCATGCCGCCCGGTGGTGCTGACAGCGCCCCCCGTGTTGGTTTCGCCGGTGCTAAGAGTGAATTCAGCGTGGATTTGCGTCTTCGTTTTTCATTTTTATTTTCCTTTTTTCTGATATGCGCACGTTTTTTCTGATTTTCCGTGGCTCGCTCGCGCTCCGGCTCCCGCTCCTCTGCGGCTGCGCGTGGCGTCTCCGTGCCCCGTCCGGGTTAGGCCCGGCAGCCGCGCCCCCCGCGGGGCTCGCTCCCAGCAGTTCCCGTGCGCTTGCGGCCGTGCGTGCACGACCCCTCCAGGGCGCGTCCAAGAACGCCCGGTGGCCGCGCCGCCCCCGCTCGCTCGCGTTGGTCCCGGTCCATGTGCGATCGTGCTCTGTACCTCCAGGGCCCTTCCACGAAGGCTCGGCAGCCGGGCCCCCTCGGTGCGCCGCGCCGGCCCCCGTGTACTTGGATTGTGCCCGGCCGCACCACGGCCCGTGCAAGAGCGTGCTTCTTTCTTGCGTGGAGCACCATGGGCACGCCAGCCCCCCTTGCCCCCCTCCCCCCCCCCAAACGCAAGGCCCCTCCCCCGCCCAGTGCGCTCTGGGCACTGCCGCCGTGCGCACGGCGGGGGGGAGGCGTTCCACTGTGGCCCCCCCTGGCCCATCCCCCCCCTATAATGCCCAGTATCGCCGAGAATAAAGGAGCTCCAAGGACGCCTGGCGGTCGCGCCGTCCCCTAACTCGCTCGCTCCGGGTTCCGGTTGTGTGCGATTGTGCTGGGTGCCGACAGAGATCGTCCAGGAATGCCTGGCGGCCGGGCCCCGTACAGCCGGGGCCCTGAAGAAGGAACCCTGTTCGTTGGGGAGGGGTTCCGCGTTCCTTAAGTGTTTCGCAGCTTGCCTCAGGTTTTCCTTATGTTTTCGATCGGACATCGAAGTTTAACTTATGGAAAAAAGAGGCCTCGTTCCTTATTTTGGGTTCCTTAGGTCAAGGCCCCGACTGTAGCTCGCTCGCGCTGGCGCCCGTTCCTTTGCGACTGCATCTGGCGCCCCAGGGACCCGCCCCAGCTCGGGCCGGACGAAAGGGGGGGACAGGGAAAGGGGGGGTTACGAAATCTGCTGCGTGCAGCTGGTTTCGGCCTCACCGAGGGGCCCATTCCTCGATGCGTGCCCGCCTCCGGCGCCCGGAGGCGATGGGAAAACCAGCTAGGTGAGCTGATTCTCAGACCCCCCCTTCGCTATCCCCCCCCCCTTCCGCCCGGCCCGCCCAAGCACGCTTGGCGGTCGCGTCCCCCTTCGTTCGCTCGGGCTGGTTTCCGTTGGTTTGCGGGTGCACCTGGTGCCCCCAGGGCCCGTCCAGGAGCGCCTGGCGGCCGCGCCCCTCCCCATGGCTCGCTCGCGCTGGCTCCCGCTTCCGATCGATTGCGCACGGCCCCTCCAGGGCCCGCCCAAGAACGCCTGGCGGATGTGCCCCTCTGGCTCGGGCGCATCGGTTCCCGTGTCTCTGCGAGTGTGCCTGGTGCTTCCCGGGGTGCATCCGGGAACGGTTTGGCGGCCGCGCCCCCCTTGGCTCGCTCGCGCTGGCTCCCGCTTATGTGCGACTGTGCTTGGCCCCTCCAGGGCTCGTCCAGGAACGCCTGGTGGCCGCGCTTCCCGCGGACTTGTTCGCGCCAGTAGCCGTTTATATTTCGCGATTGTGCCTGGTGCATCCAAATGGCCCGCCTAGGAGCGCCCGCCCGGCGGCCGCGCGCCCCCTTCCCTGGCTCGCTCGCGCGGGTGTCCGTTTATTTGCGGATGTCGGCGGCCGTTTTTTTGTGTTCGTGGGCGACGGTTTGAAGCGAAACGGGTTGTTCGGAGGAGTCCGCCGCCTTCGCTGTTCGCATCGTGTGAACGAAGGCGACGTGCAAAACGAGTGCGGCGTTCAAGTCGCGCCCTGGTCTGTTCACGTCCGAGTGAGGCGGCGCCCCGGTGCACCCACACATTCGGATGCAACTCCTGGGAAAATTCTGATTTTGCCCTGGTCCGAAATGGACGGCTCAATCCCTCTTTATCCCGCTTAATCAGGCGCAGTCCCGCTTAATCCGAGGCCCACTCCGGCGTAACAGCTCCCGAATGGGGCTTATTCCTCCTTGATCTTTCCCACGAAAACCTCCCAGTAGTTGCCTCCCGACGCACATGTCACACACGCCACTCGAGGGGACGAGGCCTTTTTGTTCGGTCTGCGTGATGCCGCGCTCCGCCGAGCCCCTCCCCGGGGCGCAAAAGAGTGGCGATCAGTGTGCGCTGCGCAGCTCGAGTTGGCCAGGTGTTTTCGGCCCACGGGAGCGGAGGGGAGGCGAGGAGAAGAGCAGGGAGAGACTTGACGCAGGAACAGTGCTGGGAAAGACGGGGAACTACAGCCAAGACGCTGAAATCAGGAGCAGTTTGGGTTCGGAAGGGGCTCGATGTTCCCTAGGTTCCGCCAGTGCTGTTCCTCTTGCCCTCCTGGGGCACGGAGGCGCTTACAGGGCCAAGAAGGGGCCTCGTTCCTTCTTTAGCGTTCCTTCCTTCAGCGGCCCGGCTGTAGACGAGAGGATGGATGAGCAATGCTTGCTTTCTGAGGAGCGAGGGCCACAGCAAAGTGGGGCTGGCAGATGGCAAACGGGAGAGGCCGAGGATCAAAGAGGCGAAGACATCGAGAGAGCGAGGAGAAGGAGGAGGAGCAACGATTCCAGCATGCAAGATGATGGCCCAGCCAGCAGACGGGTGGGGGAGCTATCAGCAAAAAGGGATCTTGCCGCAGACATCAGCGTCTCGCGCGAGCACGAACGGATACATCTGCAGCGATCGTTGTTTTATGATCGCCGCAGGCGCCAAAGATCTCAGAGCAATCAGCCGAAGCTACACATCACACATTCTAGGCCTCCTTGGTGGGGTCGGAGTAGATGGGGTCGGAGGATCGCGCCGCATCGCCGATGCGTCGCCGATGCGGCTCGATGTGCAGCCCGGTTTGCTTGACGTCGACGTCACCGATGCATCGCCGACGTCGACGATGTATCGCCGGTGCATCGCCGATACATCGCCGATACATCACCGATGTGTCGGCGATGCGGCGCGTTCCTCCGACCCCGTCTACTCCGACCCCATCTAGGAGGCCTCTACACATAAGGCCTTTGCTTGCGACTGCACGTGCGAAAACGACTGACCACGGACGGACCACCCGGGCTGGTCGGTGGGCAGGCCGCGGGCGGGTCTAAGCCGCGTCGCGAACACGTCGACTGGGCGGCTCGCGATGCGGCTCACGGGAGGGACGCCAGGGAGTCGGCTGAGCGGCAGCACGCATTGGCAGGCGATCGTTCGGTCTTCGAGTCGGTTGATCGGGTCGGGCGAAAGGGGGGGATTGGGAAAGGGGGGGTTACGAAATTTGCTGCATGCAGCTGGTTTTGGCCTCACCAAGGGGCCCATTCCTCGATACATGGGCGCCTTCCGGCGCCGGGAGGCGCCGGGGAATCGGCTACGTGAGCTGATTCTCAAACCCCCCCTTTGCTATCCCCCCCTTTCGCCCGACCCGATCAAGGGAGGGACGCCAGGGAGTCGGCTGAGCGGCAGCACGCATTGGCAGGCGATCGTTCGGTCTTCTTTTCTCTGGGTAGTCGAAGGCCAGACTGTCAGATTGGATTGGGCCCCAAGGGCCAATCTGGCCCGGCCAAGCTGGAGGATTTGGGTTATTCGCCAGACTGGATCTGCGTTGGCTCCCTCGCCAGATTGCCCCCGTTTGCCAGATTGGGCCTGCCAGATTGGCGCCAGATTGGCTTCGACTACCCAGTTTCTGATCGTACGGCAATCCCATCGCGGGGCAATCCCCTCGCGACGTGAATATTGGGCATGAGTTTCTACTTGGCAGAGGGTCGACAGTCACCAGCCGGCTCCGTCGTCGCGGGTGGAATGGAGTATTCCTGTTTTCGGACTTGGTCATCGCGTGTCGGCAGGTTGCGCGGTGGGATGTCCAGGGACAACGATAGCGGGGGATAGGCATAGGGGGGGATGCATCGACCCCCAATCGCCCATTGATCGCCGATGGGAGCCCGATAGCCCCCACTTGCCCAGGAAGGTGCGGATTAATCATCGGAGGCCTGCTATCGCCGATCTATCGGCGATGTATCGCCTATTCCAGGTCGATGTTTCCCCCCATTCCCTATCTCCCCCCTACCGTTGGCCCCCAGATGTAAGGGAGGGAGCCAAGCAGCGCAGGCGCCGCCGCCGCCACAGGCGCTCCAGAGGAGTGGTGCACCGAAGGCGGCGACTCGCCCGATGCCCGCCCTGCGGTGACGGGCGGTAAGAGAAGCGGATCCTATCCCGGCAGCGGTGTATAAACATGGGGGCCTTCTTAGTTCCGATGCTTGTCGTACAGTCGAGGTTGGTTAGTAGGTCGACCCTGCCAAACCTAGGGTACCTTTGTGTCCTGTGCTTCGAGGCCCATGCCTTCTACATTCCTATGGCAATGTGGCCCTAGGAAGGGTCTTGTGTCCTGTCGCGTGCCCTCTCCAGTCAAGCCCGACTGCATTGGTTTAAAGGAAGTCGTCGGTACGATCTGATCCGTCGTAAAAGTGTTACACTGAGCTACAGTTGCGCTGCAGACTGTCACAGCCAGCCAGGGCGCGATTCTGTTTCACAATCACTCTAGGAAAAAGCCCTGCTCAGCGGCGGCCGCTGAGCCTCAAGGCAGTGCATTTGAGGTTCCAGGGGGCTGGCTCCAATGGGCTCCAGCTGGATGCGTGCGCGCGTGGTGGCAAGTAATATCAGGACAGAGGACTTTAAGGGTAGCTCTTTGGGATATGTTATATAGAATCGGGAGTATAGCTCGCGCGCCGTTGCCTTTGGCTCAAGGCACGCGCGCCCTATTTGCCCGGATACCTGACTTGGTATTCGCTATGTGCTGGAAAGACCGATACATCGATATTATCCTATCTTACCCATCCACTCCCCATATCGTATTCCTTCGACATGGAATTGGATGCAATGTGACCTACCAGGCTCACTTTCGACTTGGTAGCGGAGCTGGCCGCACTCTCGTGTGGTAAGCTCTTGCTCTTCTCGTCCTCACACTATTCGGCACGATCTTCGTGACCACCTACCACCCTGCGCTACCACTCCCAGTACGTTTACGAGGATCTATCCAAGAGCAAGAAGCAACACGAGAGGTACGACGTCTAGACAACAACATTGGTACCATATACGCTTCATCATTGCGCTACTACCAACCGCTCGGCAACGAGCCAACAGCGCAGCACTTGAAGCATGGGCGGAGAGATCCGCCAGATAGAGCGCCTCGAAGACTTGACAAGGCGCTACCCCAGCGCGGCAACGCGCCTAATCACCACCCCTATCTTCACAGCCTTGGGCTGGTTACCTTCGCCATCATATGGTTCGCGCTGGGGGCAGCAATCGGACACATGCGCCGTGGAGAAAACAGCACCGATGGGCAAACACATGGCCCATACTGGGACCCTCAAGGCAACGTGCCTTTCCGCGAGTACGCTTATGAGGTCAACGCGTGGCTCAACGTCACAAGTGGACGTATGACACCACAGGCCCAAGCGGCCGCCATACAACGCGGCCTGGGTGGCCTAGCGAGGACACTCGCCATGAGGGTACCACCTGACATCATAAACTATGGTGTTGACATCGGTGGGGTCCATACCGACCCAGTGACCTACATCATGTTCCTCCTAAGCATGAAGTTCGATCGCTTGGAAGATGAGCGCCAGCTCACTTCCGGCACACAGCTCATCGACTTGCATGTGCCTCACGGAGAACGAATCGTTGTCACCCTTACCCGATTCGAAATGGCCCGACTTGAGGCACAGTCGGTGGGATTTGACCTTCCCAACTTCCAACTACTAACCACGATCCTGTTCCGCGCCTTAGGCGTCGGCAACCAGCGAGCTATGCAACTCTTACAGCCACTCAATCATCAAATGCCCCGAACACAACAACAGTATGATGAGTTGCTGGAGAGGATGCGTTCGATAGGCCACCTATCAGAACGGTCTCCTGGTAATATAGGATCTGTGTTTGGAAGGGGAAGGAGATCTGGTAGTGGGAATTTCTACACTACCTTAACCACTGAAGCCCAGCCTGGAAACGGGCCCTCAAGCACATGGGCCGATGATCCTGGAGAATCCACTGCTCCACTAGCAGGGGATCGATCACAACCAAGCTGGGCAACCAGCCCTCCTTCCAGAGAACCTCAGCCACACCGTTCTTTATGGGGTGAATCAAACCCCCTAACCGACGGTGTATCCACTTATTTGGGAGACGATGATTTCGACTCCGGCACCGACACAGATACTGTATCATCAGACGGTGATGAAGCTTTAGATTGGTCAGATATCATGAATATGGAAAATGATAATCAGCGTGCTGAACACTTGTTTTGGTTATTGCAACAAGCTAAACGGAGGTGGGGGAGGTTCACACGAAAACCAGTGCGTCGTGTTAGGAGGAGGATACGGAGGAGCTTCAAAGGAAAAGGTAAAGGCAAACGGGGTCGTTGGAGGTTGAATGGACGAGGCATCATGGCCTTCCTCCAGAAGCTCTCAGATGAACAGTATGATGGGATATTTTCCTGGGGAAAAGGCCGCGGCAAAGGCCGTAGAGAGACCTCTGGCAAAGGCAAAGGTCGGCGGGGAAACCCGCGAGGCAGAGACGGCCAGGTCCTAAAGTGCCATGAGTGTGATAGTACCGACCATCTTGTGAGAGATTGTCCAGCGAAGGGAAAGGAAAGGGCAGATCGACCGAAGTCCATTTTGGCTCAGCTCAAGTGAACCATTCATTGAATATCTGAGCCTCCAGGATTTTGAGGCCATGGAGCAGATATTTTACACTTGGGTTAGTTGCATGGACAACGTCGACGAGCTCGAGGCGTATGGTCATGGATTGTACGCGTACTACCTCGAGTACGTCCGCAGGTTCGTCGTTGGCAACAACGAGCTCACTCCCGTGGATCACGGAACGCTGGGAAACCAGCCTTTATCTTTCTTCGACTGGATATTCGGGAACCCAGGCGACATCACGGCCTACGAGAGCAGCGACGAGGACGTCACTGTAGAGGCCTCGCCTTCAGAGGTTGACCGTGACCTCCAACCTCCACCCGACCTCCCGCCTGGAAACGGGCCTACCTATCCCCGAAATTACGCTGAACTTATAGAAATGGAATCTCAAGCGTTTGTTGCGGGCGCACCAGGGAACCCATATATACCCCCTGGTTCGCTTGCGCCAGGCGAGTACGGGCCGCGCGCACTATTGCAAACCCTCATGAGGATGCACGAGATATTAACCATAGCATATCCTGAGAGTCAAGAAAGCATCGAGGCTGGCAACATGATGCTGCACGACACTGACGCTTGCGACGACTCGGAGTTAGTGTTGGCAGCCTTGACTCTTATCGACAGCGTGCACCCTGAGGACGTGCAGAGGCATGCGTGGTACTCCCGAGGGAGGTGGCGCGAGGCCCTTGAAAGGGCCATCGCCATGCGCGGCCAGGCTCTTCTTCCGCCAGGATGGGGTCTCCAGGCGGCGGGGCCATGGCCCAATCATACTGCCATGCGCAACATTGCTGGGCAGCCTGTGCTCGGCAACGAGCCTGAGCCGACAACCGTGCCGCCTACTCCGGGACAGCCGAGCGACGCTCAAACGCCGACTATGCAGGGAAACCTGCCCGTCCCGGCTGCGCCGATGGCCATCATCATTGGCAGTTCTACATCAGAAGATGAAGAGGGCGATGGTTGCGGGCTGTGCGAGGATGAAGCCACAATCCTCATGATGGAGGTCACCGGCGAGGAAGAGGTGGACTTTGATCCTGACGAGCCTGACGCACCATCACCATCGGCACAAGCGCCAATTGCGCCGGGCTCCAGCCAGCAGGGAAACCTGCCTCTATTAGCCGATCCACCTGGGATCGCACAGGAGCCTCCGCAGGCGCCCCCGCCGGCTTCCACTCAGGCTGCTTCGGCAGCCTCTTCTGATGAGAATGCCGGAAGGTTTCGTTCCCAGCCGCGCGTCAGAGGTGAGCCTCATCCACAAGCACGGCTTCCTCGTGAGTGGAGGCAAGCTGGCCCAAAGGAACACGCTCGTAGGCGAGGAGGCGAACTACTTCCTTATAGTGACCCAAGACGTCGGAAAGGGGAACACTCGGCCTTCGGCAAGGGCAACCCTGCCTATAGGGACGCTCAGGGTAAGGCCATCCGCGGTGGCTATCAGCTTGCAACAAACATCCGCCGCCCCGAAATAGAAGAAGTGCGGACTCAGCTGCGAAACGTCATCGCGGCGCGCAAGCTGCATGGGCCTCAGGCAGTTTGCGGACCATGCTCCGAGCCGCTCCAGGAGCACAGGCCGGGACGCCCTGTAGGGCTCAACGAAAGTTTGAGCCCAAACAGGGGCCGTACTCCTCGTAAGGAAGGCCATCCGCCACTGACCCCGATGACACAAGACGAGATCGCAGAGATCAATCGTCGTCTCGGGATCACGGTTCACATGGGGCCGAAAGCCGAGGAGGACAAGCCTCCTCCGGCTCCAAGAGGACTGGTGCCCATGACCCAGGAAGAAAAGGACGCGCTCTTTAACCTTCCTGGAATGCGAGGAAACTCGCCCGGCGTTTCCAGCCAGTCCCAACAGCCAGAACCGACGGCCAACGATGACCAGAAGGCCCAGCGAGTTGCGGCGGATGAAGAACGCATGCGAATAGCAGAGGAACGCACACGCGAGGCAACTCGCCAGATGCTGATGGATTCCCAAAAGATATACATGAAGGGGGCTAGGAAGCCCCCGCCCCCACTCCAACCGAAGGCTAAGAGCGAAACTCCAGCGCCGAAGTCGCCTTCGGGGATGAGACCGAAAACAACAGCACGCTCTGAGGATCCTGGGCCAGATGTGCAGATGGAGGCGCCTCGCTCTAAAACGCCGAGATCACCGATTGGCGCAACTCCAGCACAAGGACCTGATCCCAAGCAGCAACCTCAGGACCCTGTGGAGGAACGGAGACGCCCGCCTAGTCGCAGCGGATCCATAGCCAATAAGGCGAAGGCTTTCGAGCGCACAGGGTACGCCCCTGCGCCGGCCTCGCATGCGGCGGCGCGTTCCAAAAGGTCCGACGAAGGTGCTCTGTCTAGGGGTACCTGGGTGCCGACGATTAGGGGCAGCGCCAGTCGTGAGTCACCGCGGGGAAACCCGCCAGGCGCTGCCGCTGCAGCTTCCTCCTCTTCAGGAGCCGCAGCCGCCTCAGCGACAGAGGCTCCTGTGCGGGGAAACCCGCCCGAGGATCAGC